AGAAGAGTTATTATTAAGTTCAACTGCACGTTTTTCCTGTGCTACTGCTTTTTGTTTACTTATTGCCTCTGTTCGGACAAGTATTTCTGTATTCGTTACTAAAGAGGAAAAGTCATTTAAGTTGTGGAATCGAGTACAATGTCTTTGAATACGTCTTCTTGTACTGACCGGTATACAGAGATCTTTGGAGAACGTAGGTTTATAGTATTCTAAAGGTGCGATGTTGTTGATGATACTTTTGATGTTGTGATAAAATATATTGGTTAATGTGTCGGTATTGTTTGAGGTAAAGAAAGTTCTCCAATCAGTGCTTCTTAGGTAATTGTGGAAGTTATTCCAATCAACCTTGCGACAGTTTCTACGAAGTGTTACGGTTTTACTTCTATCGGTTGTGGTTTTTACATTAAGGCTGCATATGACAATGTTATGATCACTACCTGGGAACGTTTTTCCAATATACAAAGTATTGGGGATGAGGCCACTGGTAAAGACTAAGTCTAAGATGTTTTGATGTCCGGTAGGGCTATTGACATACTGAGTCCATTGTCCAAGCTCTAGACATTCAATAAATGATTCATAACGTCTCGGCGCTTTGACTGGCAGCCAAGAAATTTCGGGCATATTGAAGTCACCACAAATGAGCTTGCCTGTGAATGAGAGGGATGATGCTAGTGTGAATACCTCCGATAATACTGCTATTTCATCTATTGATGCGTTAGGTTGACAATAAACACAGCCGAGCAGTAAGGTAACGGAATTCGACGGCTTTAATACAATCCACACCGAACCCTTCAGTTTGTTTAGTTCAGGCATATCACATAGCAGTGAGTTTAGGCTAGAGTGAGCGTAAATAAGGCATCCTCCGCCTCGTCCGTTCAATCTATCGCTTCTACATAGAAAATGGTTATCAAGAGATATACTTCGGTCGGGAATATTACTGTTAGTCCATGCTTCAGATATCATAATAAGTGATGGTTGATATATGGATACAAACAGGGCTAAATCCGTCTTTTTGTTGCAGATCGATCGTGCGTTGATAAGACATATATTAAGCAAGTGGCCTACTAAGTTAAAATGGGTGAGAGTATCTCGGATAAAGTCGTCGTAACCCTCGCGGATGTGAGATGAGTTTGATGTGAGGGATTGGATGTTCTTCATTAGCTCGGTATTTTGATAGCTAGACTTAGTGGTAGATGTATCGAATGATCTAGTGAAGTTGATTGGGTAGTTTACTCAAGACGAAAGGGTGGGAGTACTCTCTGATGGAAACTGTACTGAAGAAACAAGTTTATGTTTTGCATGTGGTTTGAAATAACTTGGGCTATATGCTTCAACATAGGTGTCACTAGGGTTCGTATTCCAAAAAAATCTTGTACATGCCTATTGTGAAGTGTATGGTTATTTACAAAATAGTCTTGGTGGTTGGGCTCGTAGTCTCTGTTATAGCTATTCACGTTAGCGTGAGAGGGGTCTGTTGCGCGTAACTGGAAGGAGTTGCGACTGTTACTATACATAGGAGCCGTTTCTTTGTGATGCTTTGGTACTAAAGGGTGTGAAAAGTTTTCTTTCTGAGAGTAATTACAGTTGTGATCCTGGAGAATGTAGATAGGGATGATGATGGAAGCCTTAAAGATATCGTTTGCAACCATGGGGGCTCAGTTTCAATCATATGTTTAGCAATAGAGGATGATGGATGTTTATCCCCTGCTTTTATTGGGTCACTTGATTGTATTTGTTTCTGCAGCCATTTGGGTACATGTTAACAGGTCACGAGATTGATCTAGATTCAGCTTTTGTAGTGTTGTATAAAAGTGTAAAAGGGCGTATACTAAGGTTTATTGAAGCCTTAGCCATACGAAAATTCAACCCTACTTTGTGTGTTCAAAAACAGTTTGTTCTTATCTTAACCCTATACTGGTAATATTGACTTATTATCCAGAGTGAGTTGGTTTTGCTTTGTGTTCACATTATTATTATTATTACCCTTATCATTATCCTTATCCTTACCCCGTTTCCTGTCTAGTTGACCTTTTGTTTTTTATATCTCAATGCTCTTAACAAGTATATGTGTGACCAAATTGTTCGGAATGTATTGCGCTAATATATCACATAGTCCTGATAATCTTCGTCTTCTAATATCATTATCGAAATTTATCAAAGGGACTAATTGTTTTAATATATTTCAGTAATAACATCCCTTGTGTTGTACAGCCTTCAAAGCATCTGTAGTACCTTGATACGTCAATGGGGTATTCTGCCCAAGGTGCTGACTACGAGGTGTGACTTCGACGTTAGCTAGTTCGTCACACGATTCACGTCTAACTCGAGTAGGCCTCCAATCATTTCGACATAGATCATCTACGTTGGTGATGCACAGTGTCAACACTATTAAAAATTATTTGTTTCTCGCTGTCTGGGAGCTGATCTTCATTTTAGTGGGATTCTATGGTTACTTATCAACCGTCTACGGTCATTGTAAATCCTTAGAATATAAGTGAGGTTGATACAGAGTTCTCTACCTTCAAAGCTAGACTGTTCCAAAGATTCCTAGTGTTTTGAAGCATCGTCTATAAGTGCAGTAGGTTTAACGTACCTGATAAACGATCGTGGTAGTATCTTCGTTATTGTGAAGAAATGATGAGGAGAGTCGGTCACGCCATGCTTGTGATAATGAGCTTCTGAATGGGAGAACCAGACTTATCCAGCTAGCGTGGCATTCTTTATAGAGTGAAAGAAAAGAGATCCTAATTATTGCAGGGTTTATTGCGTTTTTGGACAAAAAGATGAACAGATATATCAATACGCGATAAATGATCGAAGAACACAGGAATTTTACAATATAAAATACATGTAAACGTGACAATGGACAAACTAACAGTTTACGGTATGATATTCGTAACTACATTGACGTTCACTGATGAAATTTCACAGGCACGTAATATTTTTCGACGGCTTTTTTCAAAACGTCATCCTGAACAAAAATATTCAGATCGGTAAATCAAGAAGTCAAGAATGATGGGATATGATGATATATTTGTAAATGGTCAATGTATCAGAGTGCACGCGACCCAAGCTTGTTTTTTGTCACAAGAGATAAACAGTATGGCGTATAAAAGCGTGAGTTCATGTGGATGTTTATCCGCGAGGCCTCATTTGGGGGCGTGTCCAGTAAAACTAATAATGATGACTTCACTGTCCAAGATTTACGAAGTTATTTTGAGATTTACTCACCACTGCAGAGGTGATTATCGATGTAGTTACATATAAACTTTGCTTTGATCTCGAAGAGGTACTGATATTGAAGGTAGCTACTGAGAAAATAGCACCTAAAGTGATCTTCAATATTAGATCCGCAGTAAGCGTTAAAAACAGTATTACCAAGGAAAGCTGTGAGCATAATAAATTCCTTGCTTGATTTGCAAATAAGAAGATAATAAAGGGATTCGGAGACGCGATGTTGGATGTAGTTTTTCTTAAGGATGAGTAAAAAGACATTACGTTTGTTTAAATCCTTGAAGAAAACCTGAAAGTCACGAATTGCTTGTAAACTTTTCAAAAGGCATAACTTGTTATCAATCTCAAAAATAGTTCATGGACTTCAAGATTACTGATGAGCCTGAACCTATATGAAGCATCACGGATTAAAAATCGTGCAGGTCAGTATTTTACACTTTATGCGCTCGTTTTTCGAATTTTCTTATGCATATAAGTACCGTAGGTTCGAAGTAATTTTTAGGTTTTTGACTTATGATTATTTTTTGAAATTCTGAGATCAAGAATCAAATTTCAGCTTATAAGGAGCCTCAAATGTTGACGCTTGTCTTATCGAAGTGGTAGATATGCTGTAAATGTTTCGTAGGAGCGATTATCACAGCAAATTATTTGCTTCAACTTTTTTAGTGCATGCAGTGATAAAAGTGTTCATACGGCGTCAAGTGAACCACATAAATACTAGGAATGATTTGCGCTTGATAAAACGTTATTCGATAGTTAGGTTTCTACTTCATTTTTACACTGATAACCTCGACTTACACAATTTATTAACATACTGTAAATTAAAATGAGATGGATAGATCTGTTAAAATTCACAGTATATGTATTTAAGATTGTTGGTACAATAAAACTAGTAGCCTGAAATGAATAGTGTGTAATGTCAACTTACATAAACTTGATGGTCCACTAAGCTTATGTGATTATTATTCGGATTAAATAAAAAAGCATTGTGTAACAGAAATAATACAGTAGCTACAAATAAAACAAAATCCCTGATTTTAGAATACTTAATGGATAGAATGGCAAAATTGAAGTAAAGGATGATGAAAATCGGTGATCGCTAATCGAGTTCTTTGTGCACTTGAAATATTAGTGATAATGTTAACCATAAAAACATATTTGTCTTCGCCTCACTGAGCTTTCCGCTATACTTCAAATACACGCAGAGAACCTTTAACGCAAATGTCTGCTCAGAACGTTTCAATATGGCGAGAATTCCCATTTTGACATATGGTAGATAAATAAGGAACGAATTAAGCGAAGAAGGAACGATTACACTAAGGCTGTATGGCCTGCCAAGAATACGTAAAAGTGGCTTGCCCCTTCGACCATTTTTAGATATGAATAACTCAGCCTATCATAACATAACGAAATGGTTGGTGCGAATTCTCAAACCATTACACAACGAAATTGTTAAGCATATTGTCAAGGATTCCCTTGAATTTGTTGAGAATGTGAAAAGTCTATCGGTCAAGAATAACTTTATGATATCATCAGATGTATCATCCTTATTTACTAAAATTCCACTACTTTTAATGGTGGATTTTATTCGCAATGAATCAACAGTTAGGCGTATAGAAACCACCATTCCCACATCCACAATAAAACAGTTAATTCTTAGATGGACGATGACTATCCAATTCTGATTTGACAACGAACACTATAAACAACTAGATGGGGTAGCCATTAGGTCACCATAGGGCCCTCTACTGGCAGACATTTTTCTTGCGAAACTTGAAAATGAACCACTTAAAAACACAATTAGCCATTTAACATGTTATTTTTGCTACATAGACGATACTTTCGTAGTATTAGAAAGAGAACATGGAAAGGACAACTTACCTAAAATATTTAATAACATCCATCAATTAATTTCACATCAGAGGAAGAACAGAACAAAAGCATGTCATTTCTAGATGTCCAATTAACTAGACGAGCAGATGAAACTTTAAAAAGAGGGTTACACAGAAATTCTGCAACAGGACAATAAACTCATTTCTATAATGCAATACCAATCAGATACGAAAGGAACTTGATGACGATCCTGACTTATCGTACCAGAATGTTTTGTTCTGATAACACTATTGTATATGGATTGGTTAATATATGTAACATGTTTAGTTAGAATGGGTACCCTATGAAATTCATCGACAGACACATGAAGGAAATGAAAAGAAGGACAAAGATACCCACCGTTCCTAAGAAAGTAATGTTAATAAAATTACAATTTCTAGATGATACTACTGAAGAAATTGTTACTCGGAGATTACGAAAAGCGGTACAAAAAACATTTAATGCAGTCAGACCGTGTTATCTACTACAACCACCACAAAATAGGAACGACCGATAAAGACGGATTGGCTGAACTTGCAAAATCCATGTGTATTTATCAATTCAACTGCTCCTGCGGAGCTAGTTATATATGGTGCACAATTCGGCAAGTTCGTCATCATATAACAGAGCACCATTCGTCGTGATTGAGCCAAGGACAAGTAAGAGTGATTAAGAATTCTATTCTTGCTCACTTGATTGACACAGGTCATCAAGTTGAACTGAACAAAGCTTTTAAAGTTATCTACCATATTCCATCAAATTTGCCACATGGTTTACGATTGCGTTTTTTGCACAGTACTGAAGCCATCACAATCCATGTTCACAAACCTAACCTTTGCATGATAAAGAAGTTTGTTCAACCACTTTCGCTACATTGCCATCGATATAGGGACGCTTGTAGCAAAACTATTTTCATACTTTTTCCATTTTGTTTTTTGAACTTTGTATTTTCTTATTTTTTCTCAACATTCATCCCTTGATTCTTACATAACTACTATTCAACTGACCAATCATTAAAATATTCTGTTCCTTTTTCTTTTTTATATATTATGCAACATAGCAACTTCTTGATTTTCGAGTAATTACTTTGAATATTAATAATCCTTTTACTTCCAACTACTCTATGTTAATTAAAATCGAAATATCATTATGTAATTATTACGTAACATATCCACTCGATGAGTATTGTGTCATCATTGTAAATGGTATAGATATATTAGTGTAGAGCCATGATGAAAAACCAAAATCGTTCCTTCTTTATTTACCGAATGTCAAAATAGGAATTTTCACCATCTAAAAAGATGTGTGAGTGGTGATAGCGATATTTTAATAAATTAGCTTTAAGTCATGAAAATACAAGGGTGACTATTACATTTTCAACTTATTCCGCTCTATATTGAAATGGCAGATTTTGTTATTTTATTTGAACACATAAATATTGGTACAAGGGGGCACCAGTTATATATACGCCACACAAAGCAATGATGATGGAAAGAGAAAAAAGAAGGTAAGGTGAGTATAAGAAAAAAAATAACAATGACGACCACAGATTAGTGTAAGGTAGTGTAATAATAATAATAATAATGGGGGAAACGGAAAGATACAATCAGGAGAATCCCTTCAGTTAGGCAAGACACAACCACTTTTTATGAGGAGAGTAAAAGAAGGTTACAGCAGAGTCGCCATGGGCTTCTATTCTGAGCCATATCTGATAAAGTCTCTAGCCGCTGCGTCTTACCATCTCTCAGACCCCAGCCAGGGAGTCGTGAAGGACTAGCAGAAGCAAGCCCTTTGCAGCTTTCTTTCCTACCCCTGACACCATGTCATACACTGACCACCTCTCCGCTTCTTCCAACCAGTCCCAGAGTCGGCAAATAATGCACGACGTGGAATTCTCTGGGACGACATTCGTAGAACATCTCCAAGCCACCTAAGTCGGTGTTTCAAGATGGTGACATCGATTGCATTATCATCTCTGTGCCCAAACACACGATACCGAACCTCTGCATTACTGACATGCTGTTGCCACTGAATTTCAGCAATCCTTCAGAGACAAAGATGATCAAAAGCAGAGAGTCGTCTAACATCCTCAACTTGGAGAGGCCAGGTTTCATTTGTAACTTATAATGCGCATGTTGAAAGTGTTGTAATCTCTGAGCTAGGCGAAATGTTTGTAAAGCTCTTGTCATTTTGCACGATACTACTAGCAAACAATCCAAAGTTAAGTGAGCGACTGGAATTTATCCATAATTGACCAACAGTTTGTTCTATTGACCTGAAATCTTATTGGTTGTTATTCATAGTAGTTTTGTCTCCACTTATATGCTTCTTTTAGTCACTTTTGTTTCCGACTCAAACTCTGGCGTTATCTTCGTCATTACTTACCCTTGTTAACTAACAAATTTGGTTTGATTCTTATGTGTCCATTGACTGATACCTGAATGAAGTGCCAGGCTTCCACGAATTTCTTGACTTTCGCGGTGTTTATTCCATTCAATATTCCGGAATTTTCCCAGTGGGACTCATGTCTGCAAATCTCAACATGGATTAATCTGAGTGAAGCTATATCGTATCATTTTGTAGCCAACTGATATTCAAGCAGACGCAGACAAAAAGGGCAGCTTTTTTTTCCCTATATAGTGTTTATTGCAGTTGCTGGCACTTAATTTTTAGTTGACGTTTGGTTTGTCGTTTGTTTGTGGGGATTTGTTTGGCCTATAAGCTACACCTGTTACTAGCGGTTTTAATGATTTGTTTGTAATATTAAAGACCATCTTTATATGGGGCGAAACTATTTGTTTGCTGATGTTTGTCGTTGATTGTGCATTTAACCGTCGGTATTTTAAGGCTCTTTTGATGAAATTTTGGAGACAGTTAAGTTCTAAAAAATATATCTACTAAATGTTTTCTGTAACGTTAGTGCTATAATGTGTTTTTATGCTTTTAAAAAGTGCTTGTTGATTTATCTAGCCTGCAGTTGACCAGGGTAACTCAAGCGGTTGGACAAATGAATTTTGTTCTGAACTCTTTATCCAAATGGCTATTATGTCAGACATTTGAAGGGCTCCTACTCTGACAGATTTAAGCGATATGTTAATGTGAACAACTAATTCATACTAGCTGTATGACGCAGTCATATTAAATGGACTGTAGAATATGTTAAACAATTATAACTACACTTCTGCTTAGCCCTCCTGGAAAATAATTATAGGCACAAAATGCGAATTCTTTAAAGGTCTGTCAACATAGCTTGCTTCACAACAGTAGTTAGATTTGAAAATGCAAAACAGGCTGTCAGCTGTAGAAAATTCATCCATTAGTCATAAAATCTCTATTTGATGAGTAGAAAGTGTTTATAGTAATTTTAATGCCTTGAATGCCCTTTGAATTATTTTGCGTAACCTCAACGCTCACTCGCAAACATGTATCGTATATACAGTCATTTTTATATTGTTATTTATGATTCTTTACGCCTTATTTTCATAGTTGTGGGTTGTTTATTAACGTCTTCAAAAACTCGCTTTCCCTTGGAGTGTCGTGCAAGTCGTTCGATTTTTTCGTAACTGTATTCGGAAAGCGAATTGCTTTCATTCTATGGTGAAAATATTTTCCAGACTTTTTTTGATAATGTAGAAGAACAAAACCTAGAAAGTATTTGTGTTGGTCAGTCCGGGTACTTTTCATTGTTTAGGTTCGTTTTTTATAGTTCGTCTACTCTCTTCTCATTAAAACATCTAGAAAGGCTACTTTATCTCCATTTTTCTCTCATGTGAATTTAATAGATCGGCTAACTTCACTAGCTGTTTGTTGAAGACCAAGCAAAATTAGTCAGCTATTTTCTTTACAATGGAATATTATTGTAAGCTGAAGTTTCTGAATGGCTTTATTTCACTAGTGACCTAAAACCCTTTTTATTTAGAAAAGGTTCTATAACACTAGGTGTCATTTGAATAGTTGATGTTTTAACATGCAAGTTCCCTGTAGTACCATGCAGTGATTCTCAACATATAAATGATCTGATGTTTCATTTATCGATACTTATAAACTTTGTAAGTTCACTTCTTTGGGAGGGGGAAAATTATTTCAGAGTTTTTTTCATTCTTACACAACTAACTTTATAAGGGATTTATCTATGATATAGATGTAGAAATCTAGGCATCAAATACTTACTTTGCCTCATTTTTATATGATTTCTGTTTTTATTTTATTTATTTTATTTTAACACATAGACATTGGTACAAGGAGACGCCACACAAATCTCATTCGACATGTATGAGGGCTGTGATATTGCACGGGTGTCCAAACCAAAGCTGGCGATTTTCTTAGGGGGCCACTCCCCGGGCCTTCGACTTAAAGGTCTGATCCACAAGGCAGTGGAGCATCGTGAGGAGATGCAGTCCCATGAAAGCCGCTGACCAACAATTGGTTCATACACCATTTGTTCCCTCAGGATACTGGAGCCCATGTGCACCATTGGTTTGGAATCCCATTAAAGCGCTGGACATTCCCCTTTCGTCCTCTCATTTTCGTAAACAACACTGTGGCCACGAGAAGGTAGTGAGTAGGACTTGCCTGGCAGAGGGGCTATATACGCGTGGCCATATGAGAGCAATTGGAGAGGGGGAGCGAACTCTCCCCGCACTCGGCCGTATCAAAGCATTGTACAGCAATCATGTATGTCATTAGACGTGTCAGCTAACATAAGTGAAACAAACGTAATTATAGAAGTTCATTGGATAAAAGTAGTCCTATAATCAAAAAATAATATCAACTAACAAATTAAAAATACTTCTAAAATGATCTAAATAACCATGAAATAGCCGGTTATTCTTTCAAAATTTACGTTTTGGTGTTTTAACTTACGGAATATTTTTATTTCTATCAATAAGGCATATTTGAAGGTAGATTAAACTGTTTTAATATTAACATTCACAAGTTAATTGTATAACAAAATCATTAAAAAATTTACTGTATACATCATTCCCAAGAGTAACAGAATAGGTTTCATTTAATTTATCACTTTATATATTATCTTACTTTCTTTAAGGCTTTTCAGGTTCCATAACTCATGTCACATTCTAAGCCACAAGAGCACTATAATGAATCTAAGGCGATTAATAAAAGAAACAATCTAAATGAACATCTTTGTCTATTTTTCAGCCTAGTTGTTTTTTTGAGTAAACTGAGTTTAATTTTAATGTGTTTGATAATGAAATATCAACGAGTATGTACGCTAATAAATGGACACCGAATTTAGACAATTTTCTTTTTTGAGACGAATACACTCTCAATTATACAATAGCTGGAACAGTATGGTTCCAATAAATTTTTCTTCATAAAGTTAGATATATTTAAATAAACTAACTGAAGGCATTTTATCGGAATGGGTTTTGTAGAGATTTTTAGAAATTTCACAGGTTGAAATCATGAGTCAATTCAAGTTAGACCACCATGGAATACGTGGAAGCACTGGACGGCCGTTGCGTCCTAGTATAGGACTCCTCAACAGTGCGCATCCACGATCCCGCCTCTCGAGACATTCGAACCCAGGACCTATCATCAGTCTCGCACTAGGCGCTCAACCAACTAGACCACTGAGTCGGCATCCAACGGTATTGACGTTTAACTTCAACCAATTCACGAAGTTGCTCCACTGTAC